CGCCGGGCCCCGGGACCGTCAAAAACGACTCAGGATGCAAAGCCGGCCCTGGGGGATGGGTCGAGACTTCCGGGGACCCCGTATAGAAAAAATCACGACATCGGATCTCTGAATATTCGGCCTGACCTACGGAAAGATATTTTTTCCGGAGAACTATTTTTGTCCATCCCTCCCCCTCCTCCTCCTCCTCCTCCTCCTCCTCCTCCTCCTCCTCCTCCTCCTCCCCCTCCTCCTCCTCCTCCTCTTCTTCCTCCTCCTCCTCCTCCTTCCCCTCCTTCCCCTCCTCCTCTTCCTGTTTTCACACCCCCGCGTCGCGTGCATCCTTTTTTTCCAAGTAAGTCTACGAAGTCCGAAAGAACACCAGGGGGATCGCCGCCAAAAAAGGGTAGTGGAACGCATGCAAGCCCAAGGGACGACCGAGCCCCTTTTGAAAAGTAAGTGTTCCTTATTCAAGACGGATCCTGTAGATGGAGCGCCATGGAGGGGCCACTGAGCCGGAGTAGCCCAGATGAAAGCCAGGACTGAGCCGTCCCAGACCCCCTGAAGCAATGAAACAAAAATCACGACCGGAGGCTTTTTGCCACGTTCGGCCTCCGGGGCCCCTTGCCGGGCATCGGGACCGTCTATTTTGGTTGCTTATTTCCCCAGCGGCAGCTGCATTCGGAAGGATCGCATGGTATCTAAAATGCCTCCCTGAACCATATGTAGTTTACAGCGCTTTCGTACAGAAAATTAGATGCGAACGTAGACATGTTTCAAACATAGATACGTTTAGATACGATTTTTTACCTTTTTAGATACGGGAGGTCTGTTTTCTTCCAATGTTTAGATACGGGCCATTTTGACATACAAATAGATATGTTTAGATATGTTCAGGTACAGTTCAATATGGACAACATGTCTACCAAAACTAAGTATGCTAACGGAGTTCCCCACATAAAGATGTTACGGGTTTTCATTGCTTCTTGTCTGCGCTCTGGTGGGGCCTCCCTGGAGGGGTGGGAGGGGCACGAAACCTGATGAATAATATGGTGTGCGAATACCCTGCCCGCTCTGGTGGGGCCTCCCTGGAGGGGTGGGAGGGGCACGAAACCTGATAAATAATATGGTGTACGGATACCCTGCCCGCTCTGGTGGGGCCTCCCTGGAGGGGTGGGAGGGGCACGACACCTGATAAATAACATGGTGTGCGAATGCCCTGCCCGCTCTGGTGGGGCCTCCCTGGAGGGGCGGGAACGGCACGAAACCTAATAATAACATATGGCGTGCGAATACCCTGCCCGCTCTGGCGGGGCCTCCCTGTAGTGGCGGGAGGGGCACGAAACCTGATACATAGCATGGTGTGCGAATGCCCTGCCCGCACTGGTGGGGCCTCCCTGGAGGGGTGGGAATGGCATGAAACCTGATAAATCATATGGTGTGCGAATACCCTGCCCGCTCTGGCGGGGCCTCCCTGGAATGTTGGGAGGGGCGCGAAACCTGATAAATAACATGGTGTGCGAATACCCTGCCCGCTCTGGTGGGGCCTCCCTGGAGGAGCGGGAACGGCACGACACCTAATAATAAAATATGGCGTGCGGATACCCTGCCCGCTCTGGTAGGGGCCTCCCTGGAGGGGTGGGAGGGGCACGAAACCTGATACATAATATGGTGTGCGAATGCCCTGCCCGCTCTGGTGGGGCCTCCCTGGAGGGGTGGGAGGGGCACGAAACCAGATAAATAGCATGGTGTGCGAATACCCTGCTCGCTCAGGCGGGGCCTCCCTGAAGGGGTGGGGGAGGCACGAACACTTATAAATAACATGGTGTGCGAATACCCTGCTCGCTCAGGCGGGGCCTCCCTGGAGGGGTGGGAATGGGCAGGATACCTGATAAATAACATGGTGTGCGAACACCCTTCCCGCTCTGGTGGGGCCTCCCTGGAGGGGTGGGAGGGGCACGAAACCTGATAAATAGCATGGTGTGCGAATACCCTGCTCGCTCAGGCGGGGCCTCCCTGGAGGGATGGGTGGGGCAGGAAACCTTATAAATAACATGGTGTGCGAATACCCTGCTCGCTCAGGCGGGGCCCCCCTGGAGGGGTGGGAGCGGCACGAAACCTAATAAATAACATGGTGTGCGAATACCCTGCTCGCTCAGGCGGGGCCTCCAGGGAGAGGTGGGAGGGGCACGAAACCTGATAAATAACATGGTGTGCGAATACCATGCTCGCTCAGGCGGGCCCCCCCTGGAGGGGTGGGAGGGGCACGAAACCTGATACATAACATGGTGTGCGAATACTCTGCTCGCTCAGGCGGGGCCCCTCTGGAGGGGTGGGAGGGGCACGACACCTGATAAATAACATGGTGTGCGAATACCCTGCCGCTCAGGCGGGGCCTCCCTGGAGGGGTGGGAGGGGCACGAAACCTGATAAATAACATGGTGTGCGAATACCCTGCTCGCTCAGGCGGGGCCTCCCTGGAGGGGTGGGAGGGGCACGAAACCTGATAAATAACATGGTGTGCGAATACCCTGCTCGCTCAGGCGGGGCCTCCCTGGAGGGGTGGGAGGGGCACGAAACCTGATAAATAACATGGTGTGCGAATACCCTGCTCGCTCAGGCGGGGCCTCCCTGGAGGGGTGGGAGGGGCACGAAACCTGATAAATAACATGGTGTGAGGAAAGACATGGTATGGTATGGGATGGTGGATGCATGGTATGATATGGTAAGGTATGGTATGGAGTGGCATGGTATTGGTATGGTATGATACAGTATGGGATGGTGGAGGAAGCGGGATGAGGAGGAGGAGGAGGAGGAGGAGGAGGAGGAGGAGGAGAGGATGTTCTGGGAAAACAAGAACCCCACTCAGGATGTAGGGAATTACGAATAGATACGGCACCATGTCTCCTGCTCTTGGATCCTCCTCATCCGCCCTCCTCAGTGCTAATATTCTCTTCTATTCTTTCGCCACACCATCCTGAGTGGGCTTCTTGCTCCCCGCATCCTGAGTGGGGTTCTTGTTTTCCTAGAACACCCTCTCCTGTTCCTTCTCCTCCATTATCCTTCTCCCGCCTCCCTACTATACCATACCAATGCGTACCATACCAATACCACGCCTACCTACCGTACCATACCTACCACACCACATTTACCATACCATACCCACCATGCCATTCCAAACCTACCATACCATACCATACTTACCAAATCATGCCATACTATGCAATACCTTCCAAACCTACTATACCATACCTCTCCTCCTCCTCCTCCTCCTCCTCCTCCTCCTCGACTCCTTCTCCTTTTCCTCCTTCTCCTCATCCTCCTGCTGCTCCTCCTCCTCCTCTTTGCTCTCCCCATCCTACGGTTCCCTGTTCCTCCCCAGTTCTCTCCTAAATGTCATTCCGCCGTTGTTACCCATCCTACTCATCGCGTTTTTGTCGTCGTCGCTCGTCCCCTCACTCCTCATCGCTATGGCATCCCACAATCCTCATCCCGTTGTTCATTGCTTCGACCAATATCATGGATCTTGTTCGTGCAGGGAGCGCAGCCAGCTGCATTCGTTCTGATAAAAATTAGATACGAATAGATACGGCGCGGCACTGCCATTCTTCGAAACGTATATACACATATATATATATGTATGTATATGATTCCTTGAAGAAAAATAAATACGGTCCCCAAATTTAGATACGCTTGAAACATAGATACGTTTAGATACGGCGGCGCTCCCGCGCAGGCCGGGGATGCGCATCTAAAACTAGTATCTATATTGTCGTCGTTGCAGAACTATAGATACGATGGGCTTCTCGCCTGCGCCAGGGCGCGATCGCATCTAAACGCATCTTTGATTTTTAGATACGTCTTGTACACGACTCAGGACGAACAACCGGTCCCGGGGAATAGGTCGAGATCTCGGGGGGTCGACGTAATGCGAAACTCATGACGTCGGGGGTCTGGGGTAGCAAGCTGGATTGGGCCTGACGGAGCGGGATTCCGCTGAATCGAACGGGGGTGTGCCAGTCTTGGGCCACGGATGCGTCAGCGCCTGTGCGGAAGTGAGCCTCCCAGGAGTGGCCTCCTGCCCTGTGATTGAGCACGCGGTCCACTGCATCTCTGGACTCTCGGCCGACATTGCGCGTCGAAAGCACTCCCCGAAAGGCGGGGGCGGCAGTGCCTCGACGAAGCCCATGTGAACGTGGTTCGAACGAGGCTGGCCAGCCAAGGTCGCGAAGGATGGGCCGAAAAGGGCAGGGATGCACGGGTACCCGTGGGAAGGCTGCCCATCCTTACTATGCGGGTTGACTGCGGGGAGCAGGAGGGGAGAGGGGCGAGAGCGGAGCAGGAGGGGATGGGGAGGGAACGCTAGAGGGACGGAGGGCGGGGCTGGGCAAGGGGGAAAGGAGACCGCCAGCGGGAGGAGGAGAAGGAGGAGGAGGAGGAGGAGTTAGAATAGGAGAGGGGGAAAAGGGAGCGGGCGATGGGGGAGGAAAAGGAGGAGGAGGGAGAGGGGAGGAGGAGGAGGAGGAGGAGGAGGAGGAGGAGGAGGAGGAGGAGGAGAGGAGGAGGAGGAGGAGGAGGAGGAGGAGGAGGAGGAGGAGGAGGAGGAGGAGGAGGAGGAGGAGAGGGAGGGAATCATCGAAGGGGAGGGGGGGGAAAGGTGTGGGAGGGGAGGATGGGACGTGCATCATATACAGGCCTGCGCGACGCGCGCATCAAGGCGTGTCCTCGGCGGGGCTGGAGCTCACTCACGCCCGTGCGGTTGGGCCCTAAGAGGGCAACTGTGGGGCAGGGAAGTCCTCGGAGGCCTTCGGAAGCCCCTGGCTGCCACCAATTAACAAAACAATGTAAGACCGTAGGAGAAAGGATGATAGGTCGGGAGCCACGAGAGAAGAGGAGGAGGAGGAGGAGCAGGAGGAGGAGGAGGAGGAGGCGAGGACAACGCCGATCGTGCCCATGGCATGCCATGGCAGCACAGGGCAGCGGACGCGGAGGCGGCGGGCTTCCCGCGCTGGACGCAGCGCTCACCCGGCCGTGTCGTTCTGCACAATCTCCAAGGGCGCGGGCGCGCCGCCGCCGCCGAGCCGTTTCCCCATGCCTCTCAAGAGGTACATCAGGAAGAAGAGCACGAGCACAAACGCCACCATGTAACACATGTGCTTCCCGCTCCTTTGCTGCATCATCACCTTGAGTTGGTTCATGGTGCCCTTCAATAGGGTCCCGGCCTTGTCCAATTCCCCGGCCATGCCCCCCAGCAGGGAGTTCGAGTCTTTCACTTGCTTGCCGATACCTCTGGCGATGTCGCCCAGCCGCTCCACCTTGCCGGCCAGGGCGCCGATCTCGGCATCGTTCTGCCGCTCTAGCGCTTCCCTGTCCGCACTGTGGTCGGCCTTGCTGCCTCTGGGTGGCGCGTTCCCCCTGCTGCCGAACAGAGCGGCCCGCTGGTCCACCTGGCGGCTGGCCACCCGCTGGCGAGCGTAGTAGTTTTCTCCGCTCATTGGCAGCACACCTCGGGCCGGGAAAATTGGCAGGAGCCGCCTTGAGCCAAAATGGCTGTACGGAGAGGAGGAGGAGGCGAGGACGAGGACGCCGAGGGTCAGGTTGCCGCCGCCGCCGACGACGACGGCGGCGGCGACGGCCACGGCGATGATGACGCCGGCGCCGGCGGCGGCAACCACGACGACGAGGTGGTGCCTCGCTGCCCCGCGCGATCCGCACAGCCCATGCGTCCGCGCCCCCTGCACGCCTGGCTGCCCTCGGGTCATAACTCGGACCTCTACATTCGAGGCGTTGACCAAAGGAACCCAAAAATAATGAACGAGGCCCCTTTTTTCCATAAGTTAAACTTCGATTTCCCATCGAAAACGTAAGGAAACCCTGAGGCAAGCTGTGAAACACTTAAGGAACGCGGAGCCCCTCCTCAACGAAAAGGGTTCCTTCTTCAGGGCCCCGACTGTAGCGGCCGTTCAGACTGATCTCGGCACCACGGGGAAACCCTCGACGGGGCGTAGCCGCTGGAGAGCATCCTGGGGCGAGAAGACGTCCACGAGACAGTCAAGACTTCCTTCGCGTGAGAGGAACGGGTCCTGAGGGAAACGGATCCTGGCCCCGCAGGCCTTCGGTTGAAACAGCTGCGCATGACCAGGCTGAGGTAGCTGCGCATTCCTGGCATTTGCTTTTGCGGTTGTTGCAGACGACGCGGCATCGAAGCGGTGTATCCTCATGGCGGTAGCCCCGGACCGCACGGTGCTTGCAGACCAGCTTTTCATTCATTCTGAACCGTTTTCTGACCGTCCGGGGCCCGCGAAGGGCCACCAGGAGCCAAAAACGGCAGAACAAAAAACCTCGGGACCCGTTTCTCCCAGGGCCCGCTTCCTTCGTGGCGACCCCCCCCCCCTTCGACTATAGATGCCTCCCAGAAAGGGTCCGAGTAGATGGGGTCCAAGGCTCGCGCCGCACCGCCCATGCACCGCCGACGAATCAGCGATGCATCGGCGACGCCGGTGTGGGGAAACGCGGGCTCCACATCGAGCCGCATCGTCGATGCATCGGCGAAGTGGCGCGATCCTCCGACCCCACCCGGGAGGCCCAGGCTGACGGCGACCCACCCGGCCGCCGCGCCCGCCGGGGCGCCTCGCAGACGGCGCAGAGCGAGGCCACCTGCGCGAGGCGAGGGGGCCCGACCGCAAAAAAGCACTTCGGACGCATGCTCGACCACTTTGGGGCGCATCGCGACGGGCTGCGATCGTGCCGACATGGCCGCGGTGATCTGGGGCGCTTCGGCACTGCTTCCATTAAGAGAAGGCTCTCAGAAGCGCTTCTGGACGCAGCGGCTTCCTCGAGGTCTCCCCGTGGCGCTTCGGGAGAGCAGTTGCGATCGGGCCGATCAGAGACGAATCGCCAGCTCGACCGCTACCTGTGCAAATCACACGTAGTGCATCGCAGCGGACTTGAAGACTTCAATGCTCCCCAGATTCATGTCTCATGAACCCTCAGGATTCTTCAGGGTTCCACGGGCTTCCTCTGGGTCCCATCGGATTCCACAGAATTCCTCAGGTTATTCACAACCCTGATTTTTCATTGGCTCGTCGGGAATTCTTCAGAAGAGTTTCGGAGGTTCTTCAGACATTATTCGATACAACGCGCGAAAGGTTGCTCAATCGATTTGAGAAACCGAAAACCGAACAAATTTGCAGCTGGATAACGGGTAGGGGATGAGCAAGAAGAGGATGACGAGGAGCTTGGGATGACGAAACGTGCGCACCCAAGCCCAGGCTTCGC